CCCATGGTAAGGGGCAAGATGGTTTTTCGCAAGTTCCCATTAAATCATTTATTTTCTTTTAAATGCTATAAGTTCATCTCCCAAAGACTATGCCAAATTGTAGTTAGATAAATAAGACATTGTGTGATAAATAAATAAGAATAATAAACGTAATGATTATACTGTATTTTTGGTATTTTCCTTAGATACCCCATCATGCCCCCCTTCCCCTACTTAGTTCCTAGGGCGCTAAGTGAAGTTGCTGAGAACATTAAACTATGTGGTGGATCTCGTCAAAATAAACAACTTGTTTCTATAAAATGTTTAACGAAGAATGATTCGTTTTTGAAATACAGATTGTTGAAGTTTTTCAAAACATGGTAGGTTTTTGTCGTAAGTTTTTTGCAATTTCAGTTATTTTTTCATCAAACTTTATACGCAGTATTCCCGTACAGACCTTTTCTAAACTGAGCATTATCGAACTGCTTATTCAATCCGAATTAAAAAAATTTGTCAGGTTTAATTATTCAATGTGAAAGTGCTACATTTCGGAGTTTGTAAAAAAAAACAATTCGGAGAAGTACTATGTTGTTTATTAGCAGAATCTAAATATATATAACTCAAAGATGACTGACTGGCTGACATAGTGATCTATCAACGCACAGCCTAAACCAGTGGACGGATCAGGCTGAAATTTGGCATGCAGGTAGATGTTATGACGTAGGCATCCGCTAAGAAAGGATTTTGATCAGTTCTACCCCCAAGGGGATAAAATAGGGGATGAAAGTTTGTATGAAACTTGGTCAATTTTAAACAGATCGGGCTGATACTTTGCATGCATAAAGCTACTACGACGTAGGCATCCCCTAAGAAAGGATAAACATATAAGAATTGAACGAAACAACTATTACAACAACTGTTCAAAGTGACGACCCCCAACAGTAATACAAGGTTCTGCTCTCCTCATCAAAGAATTCCGCACTCGTTGAAAAATGCCCGGAGTGTTTCTTATTGTTTCGCAGCAAGCTATGATGCGATCCCTCAACATTTCCTCGCTTGCTACCACACTAAAATGAGCAGGAGCTCCATCGTGCATAAACCAAGAGTGATTTCGGAGACCAATGGGAACATCTTCCATAAGTTGGGGAAGCTCGTGTTCCAAAAAATGTAGGTAAGCATCTCCATTCAAACGTAAGGGGAGAAAATAGGGCCTAATTAAATAATCCTCAAGTATGCCTGACCATACATTAAAAGAGGATCTGTCTTGGAAATGAGTTTGCGTTATCGCACGTGGGTTATCTTCCGCCCAGATGTAGTTGTTATGGAAGTTCATGATACCATTTCTTGAAAAATTAGCCTCATCTGAGAAGAGGATTTTCGATAAAATTTGCGGATGTTGTTCGACTTTTCTTTGAAACCATCAAGCAAATTCGATACGTGGTTGGAAATCACGTAGCATAAGTTCCTGGACACGCTGAATATGATAAGGATATAATTGATGTTCCTTTAAAATTCTGTAAACTGGCATGTGACTAACATTTGAAGTTTGACTAATTTTTCTTGTACTTGTCTCTGGATGTTCACTAATTTCTTCCAAAAACCGCCTCCTCCAATTTCTTCAGTTCTTGTAGTCCGTGGCCGTCCTACTGCAGAATTTGTTTCCAAGCTTACAGATTCGAAAAGTCGCCGGAAAACATTCGTAAATGTCGCTGCACAAGGATTCACGCGTTGGGGATACATTTCCTGATAGATGCGTCTGGCCTCGCTTGAATTTCCGTCAGCCAAGCCGTATGCAAAAACCATATCAGCAATTTCAGCATTCGTAAAGTCGGGCACGGTACCAAAAAATCACTTTATAAACTCCGAACTGTGAATTTGTCAATCAATAGTTGAAAATGTCATAGCGAACTTCTATTTTTATAAGCAATCTTTCATAGCCTACTCGATTTAATTAACTTGATTTGCAAGCGGAGAGTGACAAAAATTATTGAAATCAAATTTGGCTATAAAGTAATATGCATCGATATAGAAAATTGTAAATATCTCGAAAACGAATTTTCAAAAAGCGAACAAAAAAATTCAATTCCAACACCCCGTATCTCCGAAACGAAGCATTTTCGGACACAAGTTCATATAGACTTTTTTTCTTAAAATTGTCTCAGGAATACGTCACTTGAATATTTTAACGTACTTATGTTACACCCTGTATACTCAGTTTAGAATGTGTAGGAGGGCCAGATTCAAATAAAAAAAATCTACCGAATTATTATAACTTTTTATTTATGCAATTATACAGGGTGTTTCAAATTCAATCCTCACGATTAGGATCTCAGAGATACGAAGATGGTTAAATTGGAACAAAGTTGCGCATTTACCTCACTAAGACTATGCCGTTGAGAAAGTTTTGAATTTCGAGTATATCCGGAGATATCCGGAAAAAAACAGAAATTTCGGAAAACAGTTTTAATTTTTTTTCCTCCGTTATTTTTCGAAGGATTCGAAAAAAAAATTGCACTTCCACATTGCCACTTTTTCCCTGTTACATAATGATATTTTCAGAGTTGCTATCCAACGTTTTGTTTTCCGGTCACCATCATCAAATTTATTTTTCCTTTTATGGGCGCTGTTTTGGATTCTTTCTGTTTTGAATAGATTTCAGATTTCATCTTTTCAATGATGTATCATAACTTATCATTCTTTTTCCAAAAATTGGAAATATTGAAAAAATTAATTCTTATCATAATAGGCTTAGACTTTGATGTTCCTAAATTCAACTTTCAATTTGTTACACTCAATGGCATTTCGTTATTGTACGAGTCATTGAATTTTTGGCGAAAAATGGCTTTCACGAATGAAGAAAGAAGAGATATGATACAAATTTATTACAAATACGAGAGAAACAGTGTTAGGACATCGGAAATTTATTTAAACTTGTATCCCGAAAGATCTTGAAATATTGTGTATAAGAGATAAAAAAGCGTTAACCTCTTCAATTATTTCTTGAAGATCTATCAACTCCATTTGCAAATGAAATGCATGAAATAAAAAAACATAAATTAGGAATTTCTTTCTTTTTTTCCATTTATTCGAATCTAAATTATATCAGAATTGGAATATGATTCAAATATTTTCCTCAACAATTCTATAACTACACGAGCAGGTAATTGTTTTTAAATAAATCGATACTTAATTAAAAATAGAAATGTTCAATTTTCCATCAATCAATCAATTTATTCAATTCAGATGTATATTTTTGTCTAAGCTTGTGTTGCGTATTTTCCTAGATCTGGACACAACCTTGAATGTAGGTGAAAAAAAGGACTATTATTTCTTTCAGTAAGAAATGAGAATTGATAGAAATTAATAGAAATCGATGATCAACCCCCAGGAAGATTGGACCAGACAATCAGACATGTTAGTAAAATAATTATTGAATAAAATGTTACAGTTAATAAGAGATAAAACTCATCATTAATTATGTGTTTATCAATAATTAATAAAGTCTATATGGCGTGTTTTTGACCGGGACTAACGGTTGACCTTAAATGATGCTCTAATCACTCCCTCTCCGCCCTCTATCTCGAAACCGACTCAACGCATACAAAAAATGTAACAAAAGTTGTAAGGAATTCAACCCTCTACAATATTGATAATAAATACAAACAGTGAAAAATCCATATTGAACGTGATATTTGAAAAAAACGGTCAAAAATTCGATTTTTCTGAACTTTGACCTTACATTTTAATAATCGCTTGCACCCTACCATACGTAGGTTTTAAGACCACTTTCAGGACGTCGAAATACAAGTTTATATGAGTTCATAGCTGGATATCTCAAATTCCGAGGTGAACTTACTAAGATGACTGGACTATATACGAAACCTCAGTGAGAAACCGCGTCGAAATGCAACTATTGGTGACCGAAAGATCAAAGTAAATCATACCAAAGCACACCTCTTTGCACTGCTGCTTTTGAGGTCGGTGGATTCAGCCAATTAAGAACCTAAAATTAATTCTAATTACTGAATTAACGGACCAGTTATTTCTTTCCGGTTTTTAGAGAACACACAGCTATTGTTTACTGTTATCCTGTATAAGTTCAGGGATGGTATAGGTGAAATTTTCATTCGAATATCACAATTAAAAGAATTGGAAGTGCTAGTGAAAAACATGACAAGCAGTTCTTTTTTCAACTATACGGGGGGATCTATCATGTTGAAGTATTTTGTACCATTTCGTGATTTTTGAATTATATTGTAATTACAAAATCATATCGTCAAATTTTTTTTAAAGATGAAACACAAGCACTACAGGAAAATCCTTCAGGCGCTCTCAGAGCGGTGCTTGTGCGAAAGTAGGGATTCACATTGGATCTGAATACTGGGAGATCAAATCCATTTGGAACAATGTTCTCAGGAAGTTTATTCCACATGAACGCCGTTCTCCAAATGGAAGAGTTCTTAAACAGTGAAGTTCGAGGTGTACTGAGTTGTTCTAGCGACATGATTGTGCCAAGACATTTTGGTGTCCATTTCAACCCATTAAGACCTAGCGTAACTTATAGGTAACGCAGTTAAAGGTTTATCCTGATTGCAATAGTTGCCCTATTTATGAGATTTTTCACTAGATGGCACTGTATACCTCATCTTCGAATGTCGAAATATCAAAACGTTCAGTTGCATGGTGATAATGCAGCTGTAAGGTTCACTTTTTTTGAGTTATTCTGAAGATACGCATGCGCAGGGACGATGAGATTTACATTCGCTTCGAGTAAGTATTAGATAAAATTAATTTATCAGTTATTTATTATCATTATCAAATATGTGGGTGAAAAAAATGTATTTTGCATGTAGTATATGTTGAATTTGATGTTTGCCAAAACAGGATTAGCTATGGGGGATTCGTTTGTTGATGTTACAAATAAGTAACGCTAGGCTTTCAGATATTTGGAACTGGACTTTTCAAATTATGTCGTATTTCAATTCCAGGGCGGGTTTTACATTTCAAGAGGCATTAGATATGGTCTATTTAGGTGATATCGAAGAAATTTTCATAAAACCTCCTGATCCCAATGCTCTCACCGATGAAGACTCAGCCGATGAAAATGATGGAGGTACATTGGATAATCTTAGTGGGCGGCAACTACAAAGAAAATTTGAAATAAAGTTTGCAAATTCAACAGACAGATTGACTTCGAAAAATCAGACGAATGATCTGGTTACTTCAGACTATACCGCAGTACATAATGGTAACATTTCATTACCTGAAAAGGTCAAACCGAAAGATAAGATTATCTGGGAGGAAAATTCCGATACAGTAGTTTCCAGAAGTCGAATATTCCCGGTACAAAACTACAATATGTTTCTTGAAAAGTCTCCTGTTGAAATCTTCGAAATGTTTATTGATGACAATATAATAGAATTATTTGTGAGAGAAACTCAGAAGACAACTAGATTTTCGTGGAGCCTTGGTCCAAAATTATTTAAGCCGCTATGGGATTGCTCCAAAAAGTGCTGGAAGGCCTTCTACATCCAAATTTAGCCTCTCACTAAATAGAATATCCGATAAAGTGAGATATGATAGAACAGATCACCTTCTGATGTCCATTCCGAACAAGAAACGTCGATGATGTGATGGGAAAGGGTGCTCTACGAGCACTGGAACTATGTGCAAAAAGTGCGACATAGGACTTTGTATTGTATATTTTTCATACAAAGACCAGGTAGCCCTCGTGTTTGTAGGAACGTAATATATTTCTTCAACTCTGTAACCGAATGACCTAGTGTTACTTATATGTAATATGCAATCGTTTTTATTATTCTAATGAATATTTCAGAAACACTTCATTTTCCCATACACTGTATCCCAATAATGCTTTCATGTTGATTTTCAACTGAAAATTTGAAAGTGAATAAATTCCGGTCATAATGGATTAACCCCCAACAAACACCCAGATGGAGATTAATATTAAATCCATATGATTTGTGGTTGAGTTATGTTAGGTCCGAAGTGAGTGGGTCTATTCGACCCTCCACTGCAACCCGTAAGGGTTTATTGTGGCTCACACCTATTCACACTCGGCCAAATAAACCCAGCTTCTTAACGAAGCCATTTAGTATGTATGGTGAGTGCTATTTCAGGTGGTTAACCCTAATCTTCAAAAGAACATTTTGAATAATCAAATTTTGTTAGTTTGAAGATAATGAATGAAAAGAAATTTCGTATCAGTTCACGTGATGAGAAAGAAAGGTTATGACTTTCTATTTATCCATCTTTATACGAACAAATGTGAAAATCTTCCAAAGAAAGGAAGGGAGCAATCAATTTCCAGAAAGTAACTGTAAATAAGTAGATTTGAAGAACAGTGCAGCTGTTGAATTCATTTGGGAACTGAACTGAACTTCGCTCTTTATTTTCAAAACTATTCTGAGAATATATTTCCTCAACCTTGTTTTTTTATATTTTTTTGAAAATAATAAAGACGATTATGCCGTAGTATGCGCTAGTCAGGCCCTATCCCCCGAAGCCCCGATACATTCGGGAAGACGCGCCAGCATTATCAACCAACGACCGCTCCCCACATCGTGAGGTGAGTGATTATTGGGTCCGAGAATAATGTGCCCTGAGCAAGCGCTTGAGCCAAGAATGAAAACCTTCTGCATCTGTCTGGCTGAGATTTCTGCCTCAGTGCAGCAAGCCAGTATAATTTTAAGATTCAGGAGTAGAGAGGACATCATTTCACCAAGGACTTCAATAATCAAAACAACCATCTTGACAGAGTGGTCTGGATAGAGTCTGCGGAGTTCGAAGAGAAAATCTCCTCTTTTCGGACGATATTCGTCTCGTCGCGAGTTGAAAACTCCACTCTTGCTCTGGTGGTCGAGGAGGACTACAGGAGTCCTCCTCGTAGTCCTCCTCGACTACGAGGAGGACTACAGACTTATTAGCTTGTATGAGCCTGAGGGTGGACAACGAATAGTTCCAATAAATTCTACACTTTTCGTTCCCCGTCAATGGATTCAATATCCCCCGGAGCGTAGGGCAACACCAGTGTCTCGTCAATACCGTGAGAGTGTCGTAGATGGTAATATAGTACTTTGAGGGCCGTGTTATGTCGATAGTTATAGGCCGAGACCGCATTTGCTGGACATGCTGCTAGCAAGTGCATTAGGGTGTCGTGCATTAGTTTCCGACTTCAGCCCACTGGACCTGAGGAAAGCGAAAGTCAGGCGCTTCGATAAGCCAAGGTCTCGAATGTTATTGAAAAAGACCCCATGCATTGGCTTATCGTTGTGTTGCCGCAGAAGTGAGGTGATCTCTGCTGCTTTCATATGAGCTTTTTGCTGAAAGGGTTCCAACTCGGTGACAGTTCAGTGTCGAAAACTAAACCGAGTTCATCAGCTGCTCGGGAAGTTGCTCTCATGGTCACGGACCATGCAGAGAAGGGAATCCGAACTCTTGACGACTTTATAGGTTATATCTAGAACCATTCTATCATGTCGACACTCCAAACTCAAAAGTCCACGGCCTCTCTGTTGCCGGGGGAAGTACAACCGTGGAACGGACGATATGGGATGCAAACTCCTATAGAAATGCATCCTTTTCTGGGTCTTTACGTCGAGTTGTAACAGCTCCTCCCGAGTCCACTTCACTACTCCAAACGAGTAAAGTAAGATTGGAACGGCAAGCATATTTGTTGCAGCAACTTTGTTATTCCCCGACAGTTCCGATGACCGAATCTGTTGAAGTTTGTGCTGATACGTGCCGCGGAAAGAGTTCTTTGCTGCTGTTACCTCTTATGAGTGGCGTTGTTCCACCCCGAGGTATAACGCAGGTATGTATAACGCAGGACTCGATACAATATAATAACCTCTATGGCCTGGATTGATTACCGTGAGGCATTAGGTACAATATCGCATCAGCTCATCTTGCATTTGCTCAGATGCCTTGCGGTACCCGACAAAATAGTGAGATGCATTGAACAACTGATAGCACTCTGTTAAAGCCAGAGTCCAAACAGGGTGGGTCACTTTCAAAAGGGGTGTATTGGCATTATCCGTTGCGCTCAGAAATACTCGAGGATATAACTGTGGCACCCCCGGAAACCGGAGGCACAAGGTCATCTATTTGTTTTATGGGGATGATCTTAAACTTTATGCCTCTGAAAAGAAGGATCTCCATCAGTCCTTGAGGGTGGTGGAAGAGTACACGCGTGATATCGGTATGAAATTCGCGATAGACAAATGTGCAATGGTCCATCTCAAAAGAGGACGATGCGGGGACTACGGAGAGGATCTGCAGCTCGTAGATGGAAGCATCCTACACCATTTGGATGCCGGAAAGACGATTATTATTATCATTAGATAATAAGATTTCTGGAAGCAAAGATTTCTACTAGCGAGTCGCCTTGGCTCCGTACGGGTGTAATGCTGATACTAAATATACATATAAACGCGCTAATCGCTGCTAATCATAAAGTGATATAGTGCGAAGCGAGACCTTCGACGCGCTATTTATAGACACGCGCCGCCAGTTCCCTGGCCGGTACGGCCGCAACCGCCATGCCCCTGCATTTTAAACCTGTAATATCTTCGGAAATATTCATTTACATTACATTCTGTGAAGGGCCATATTGGTCTATATTAAATGCACAATATATTCAAAATACTTACTTGATTGTAAAATGATCTAAGCATACGTAGAGACAGACAGCGGAAAGCTAGTTTGTTTTATACTATGTAGTGATAAAGATGTTGAAGTAAAAAGTCGAAACCTTTCTTTCCCAGAACTCAATTTCCCCCCTTTCAATATTAAAATATTGTCATTTTGATAATAATGTCATACGTTATTTTAACTTTACTGGGTTTGACAGATAATTGAATCTAAAGTAAGTAAGTAAGTAAGTAAAATTATTCAATTTTCATGTCAATCAATTATTCAGTTACATGATTTGTTTTCCGTGCGATTTACAATTCAATTCAGTTCCTTCTTCAATTTATGATAATTATTAATATTCTTCAAATGGAGTGGTAGCTTATTGTATAATTTCGGGCCAAAATATGTCACAAATTTCTGGTTATGACTCAATCTACAGCGTGGTATGGTAATTGCTTGGTTGGAGGTCATTCGCGTATTATATTTATGTGAAATGCTGTTAATGGGGTTCCTACCAAATACAATGTTGAGTAATGGTTATATGAAGTGTGTAAATCAGAGCCATGTTTATACATAAAAAACTTAAGTCGTCTTAGAACTATCATTACTCTCTATGTTGATGATTTTTTCATTTTTTCGAATAATAAACACGTGTTTAGATCACCAAGTGATCATATTCAAGAGGAAGTTTGATCTTCCTCTTAAGGATGATCCAAATTACGTACTGTGAATAGAGAAAATAGAAATTCTAAAACACAGGGATGATATCAATAGAAAAGAAAGAGCAATGCACATTAATAAAATCTGGCTACCTGTCTTCACAGGTACACAAACTAGGGCAGATAATACAATTGAGAGAAACCAGACCGTAAAAATTCACATTCTTTGATCAGCCTATTCTATGCTCAGAAACCAAAACACAGACTACTGTATCAAAAAAGTCTTCCTGAAGAAGACATGTATAATGTATAAGTTTGAAAATGTTCTTATGGGATGAAACTGCAGTAACGTAAGTTTCAATTCTGATTTCCTACCACGTAGCATCGGCTACATCCATCAATCTTCCTGAAGAAGCTATCGTTTTGCCAGAAACGGATCTCTTCATAGTGAAAATATAAAAGTGAATTGTACCAATAAGTTTTGATCTTCTCAAGTTTGTTAAGTTTCATTTTATATGCTATGATATGATAACCAGTTGTACTGACGAACGAGGAATGAAAATTTTCTTTTAGATATCAACTCGTAGTAATATTCCGCTTTTATCTCTTCCAGGAGGCTCCACAAACGATGACCAGAGTCCTCCGACTTCGCCACGTGACAACCAAACCACCATCAACACCGCCGAAAGCAGATCTTCCAGACCATCATCCCCCTCGGATCATCAGCGATCACCAACGGGTAGCCCACACCACCCCGGCATCACCCATCCTTCGCATCCAGCTTTCCTCGATCAAAACTACCTGAGCATGCGCTCCAAAAGCCCCTACAGAGAATCCGATAACATGGTCATCGACGAAGAGGTGGAAGATGAAGAGAGCGACTACGATAACGACAAAGACAAGAAAATGCAGAGCTCCAGTTTGAGTCCCGCTAGCTCACTTTCGAACAAGAGGAAAAAGAAGACGAGGACGGTGTTTTCCAGGTCGCAGGTTTTTCAGCTGGAGTCCACGTTTGACATGAAGAGGTATCTTTCTTCGTCGGAGAGGGCCGGACTTGCTGCTAGTTTGCACTTGACTGAAACTCAGGTAATGACACAAAATGTTCATAAACCTCTAATTATTTGATTGTCGTTGGTCCCACATCACATTGTGAATGTAAAACAAATTTTGATTGGCGCTAAGTGGATGACAATACCATTTACTATAGTCTTCCATAATTATTTATTCAATTGTTCTATTTTTACTTGTATTTTATTTCACTATTATTTCATTTCAGGTTTATTTTGGTTAATATATATTGGTTAAGCTATTCATTTTCAATTCTTCTTATTTTAGTTGTTTCAGGAATTTCAAATCATTTTATATAGTAAACAATGGAAGTCCGAACTAGTGAAATACATAAGCAGATAATTAACACTTTGAACCAAATTAATCATGAGGAGCTTTTCATATGTAATTTTTAAACGATATAAAATCTAGCTATTACTAGATGCAAGTGTAATTGAAGCTTGAGAAAAACCAGGGAAATAAACAAGTTCTGCAACCAAAATAATTTTATACTACGAGGGTGATGATGGAACAAAACAACTGAGTTGGTGGGACATTTACAAAGAATGGCGAATAAAAGACAGGCGAAGAAGGAATAACAAGTTTTCAATACAAACAACAAGAGTTGAACACCATTGCTACAACTCCACCAATTACAATCATAGAAGTGGCTTTCAAGATCGCACAAAAAGAACAGAAAATCCTAGTAACACCATTCACATCACCGTATTATACAGGAACCAGAGACAAAATTGGCATAATTCTCCGCCAACACAACATAGCAACATCATTCGTTCAGAACGTCTGTGCTCCGTAATCTACAAGATCAGATATCACTGGAGTTTCAAGAAGTTTACGAAATACATTGTCAATACAGTGACAAGACATTGGCCAAACCAACAGGCGAATCGACATACGCAAGGATGAACACAAATTATCAGTGAAGGGAAAAGTCGCCACCTCGTATTGACTACAGTACAAAATACTTCTACTATCGAATAATCAGAGAGGTTATCAAGATTGAAAAACAAACTAATAGTATGAACAAGAGAGACATGACACGCAAAGGTTACCAGCAACGTGGAGATCTATCTTATCACTCCACAAAGTCAAACGGACCGTACAACCCCAAAAGCTAAACTCAGCACGTGATAATTCAGGTATGATGACAAAGACAGGCGGGACAGTACAGATAATAGGGTTAACACAGGTAATCAGTAAATATTACTGGAGTTTTTTCCAACACCAAACCGTTATTTTAACATCTCGATAAGTGTTTCGATCACCAAGTGATCATCTTCAAGAGGAGGATCAGTTTGATCTGGCTCTTGAAGATGAGGAAGATCAGTTTGATTTTCCTCTTGAAGATGATCACTTGGTTTGTTGTTGGTAAAAAACTCCAGTAATATCCATTATTACACCAAAGGTTCCAAACAGTGCAGTAATCAGGTCACGAGTACAGGTAATCAGGCCAATACGGGCAGTAGGAGCAACCTAGGTAAATGGTACCAACCACTCCTATAAATTGAGGAACAGAGTTCGAATGAATCAGTCTAGTTCTAAACTCCAGACATCACAAGATGGCAAATGAGACTTTTCCGAAACGTTGTGAAAATAATCTTTAGTGTATGCATAATTCATGGAGTGGATACTCAAAGATTGGTTTGGAAGTATATTTCTTTGTCGGTGCAGAACAGGTGCAACCTAGATAGATCACTGTGTGTAGGACAGGAATGAAGTTTCCAACAGCTCCATCTAGTGAACTAGTAAAACGTGTGTCATAATTTTGTGACCCTCTTTTGGTGGAAATCAAAATTAACCTTAGTAATGGATTCTCATCAAGTATCGACCAATTCTATTCTAAATTGAATGTTACTTTGATTCTATATCAATCAAAGCCTTTATGTGAAATCGGGGGATTTACAAGCTCATAATTTTCGTTACTAAGTTATTGGTGGAAGCATCAGAGCTCTTTTAAATTGACAATATTTTTCTTGTGTAAATTATCGATTATGTCATTAATTTCACTTTCAATCTTGTCGAAACATTGCCTGAGGATGCCTAAAATGTATTGCTGTCTTCACTGGTATAATATTCCTCCTTCTCCACTTCAGCTACATTTTTGTTCAATATAATGATGTTACATCCAGGATTAAACAATTCTTTGAGAATCAAGGTTCAAGGGCAATTCATAATTTCACCGCATATTTAGGAAGAGTGTAATTGGAGAATCTGTAACTCAACAACAATGTTCCTTCTACACGTCCCCGTTTTCTTGTTCCAGGTGAAAATCTGGTTCCAAAACAGGAGAAACAAGTGGAAGCGCCAGTTAGCGGCCGAACTCGAAGCCGCCAACATGGCTCACGCAGCACAAAGACTAGTCAGAGTACCCATTCTCTACCACGAGTCCCCGAACTCCTCCATGAGGCACCCCTTTGAACAGAACCACCCTCTGAGTCTCCACCACCAGCTGGAGAGCAGGGACACCGGTAGTACCGGTGGCAGTACTGGAGGATACCCGAGTTCTTTGTATTATCACCACCAGGCGGCAGTTGCTGCAGCCGTTCATAACTTGCCATCGAGTCCTGTGAGTCGACCGCCAATGTCGGGGCTAGTATGAAAGCTTGAGTGATGGTTGTGACGGGTTTTCGTGCAAAAGATCAGTGAAATTGTGCTTTGTTTGTTTTCTGTTTTATTTTGTTTCAGAGGAAAAGTGACGTAGACCAATATACTTTCAAGAATTGTAAACTTTCACAACCACAGATGAAGGTGTCAAAGCTATTCCACCGATTTGTTGAGTGGGGTTTGTAGGTTCTTATGCCTGACGATTTCTTTATAACCATATTTGTAGACGAAACGACATGCATCTGGAGACCACACCCAACAAACCCAAAAAATAGCTTCGACGTAAAGTTTCGCCAATTTCGTATTTTGAACTTGATATTGAATTATTGAGAAATATACTCAATATGACGATTTCATTGAAGATATTGTTGAATATAGAGAAATATAAGTGGGAGTATATAAGGATTGCCAGCTCCGTTTATAGAAATTGTGGGTCGTCTATGAATAATTAATCATTTGAGAAAATAAGAGGTTAGTATTTTTGCAAGAAGAAATGTGAGAGATAACATGCAATAGTAATATTGAGTGTCTAGAATCAAAGGTCAGAAATAACAAATTGAAGTAGAAAATCACCAGATGCTTATGAATAAATATCGCTTCTTGAATAAGAGTGGAAGGTTCATTATTACAGCATAAAGTTCCACATTATCCAAGACAAGGTGAAAGAACTGATCATGCAATAATGAAAAAACGTTGAAGGAGTTGTAATTATCATCCGGAGTAAACTACTATCAGGTGAATAGAAAACGTCGACCTCGAAATAATATTAACAAATATTGATATTGAACAACTTTTTTATTTTCAACCCAATTTCATTTATTTTTTGTATCAAATGGAATAACTTTCATTCTGAACTGATTCATAACAACAACATCATCTGATGAGGTGTGATTGTTACACATTACAAGGGAAATGAATATAGCTTTTGGATCCCACTCGAAGCCATCCTGTAGCAAGATTGGTTCATTCATGAGAAAGTTATTCAAAATCGAAATTTGTTTACATTTCAAGTTGACCGATTTTTACGCACCTGAGTGTAATCAAGATGAGTTAAAAAAGAATACTAACATTGCATCCAGCATTCAATGCTGGATGCTGAAGTAGAAACACATCAGCTCCATCAACAGCAGAAGACTCAATCAGCCAGATATATTTTTGGGTGAATTGATCAAGTTGGAGTTGGGATGACTCTGCAACTTCACATGGCGAATAGTCATGTTCTCTAGGTGGCTTGAGGAAAAACTGGCATTTCCTATCCAGAACATGAGGCTAATGACCACAGCAGTCGATGCCGTTAACACCAAGAAAACTCAAAAGACACTAAATGGGGTGAACAAAAGATTTGCTATATCAAAGACTAACAATGAAAACACATTATTGAAATAGGTAGTTACAGAATCCCATAAAAAATCAACCATTTGGAAAATCGCATCAGTATTGCTGATAACCTAACCACCGCTGAAGGTGTCCTTTGAAGTGAAGGACAAAACCTTTCGAGCCTACTGGTCCATCAGGCCATTTCTATTTATTCCTTAACTATTGTTCCTTCATCAAATCATTAATAGCACTACAAAGATTGTAAGTCAGGCATTGATTGCTGTACAAGAGTGTTTGAAGTTTTGATTTACCCGCTTCAGTGAGTTCTGTATTTGTAGATTCCTTCTTAAAATACCATTTGTGGCTTTCGGAAAGGAGAGATATGGTTTTGTGCTTCAGTTTAATCCAATGAATCTGTATCTGTAGAGTACGGAGTGTGAGTGTAGGTCCCCAGCACTTAGGCCACATGTGACCCATTTTACATCCTCCCGAGGAGTTGTCCTCTTGGGTGTGACAGGTGTAGACCAAGACTCGCCGAACATACACTCCTTTTTGACGATATCTTCAGACACTCGCATAAGACAGTTTCATCTTCCTGTTCACACATCCTGCATAGAGGTGTTTCCACTAGCCTCATAATATGGAGGTGTTTCCTTAGTTGACAGTGTCCAATCAGAAATCACACTGTTAAGTCTAGGTTTTTCCTGGTCATCTCCAGATATTTCTTCGGCGTCAGCTTCCGCTTGGCTAGAGAGTCGGCAATGCGATTACCTTTACTCCAGTCGCGTCCTTTAATCCACCTCAGGATAATGTTATTATCTACCGAGGCTTAGGCTGAAGTAAACTCCACATCCTAAGCCTTCTAAGGTTTTTGAGCCGTCTGTACATATGCGTAATGCATTTGTAGCATCTGCATTTGTATTTTGTAGGGTTCACTGAAAACAGATCGTATGGTCTATGATCTGGTTTTATCAATCCAGATCAACATGGAAAAACTCATGGAAAACAACTGAAGGAAGATTCTGGTAGTGAATGAGCCACACCCAAAGAGAACGAAGGAAATAATATATGGTTGACACATTGCAAGTGTTAATATAAGTTAACAAACTGCAGAATGTGTAGAACGCGAACATGCTGGAATAAATGTATACCAGCTCGAAAATCTATTACACAATTATCAGTAACTGTCAGATCCTCCCGCTGTTTTTTTTCAACAACTGATTTGGATCAGTATGTTCAAGGTATCAGAATCAAAATTAGTTTCGGTAAAGAATTACCGTGAATGGTTATACAGATCATTCTTGAAATATGTCTACGTCACTTTTTCCTTCACTTCAACGTGCAAAGTTGTATTTTATTTATTCGATAACTTGTAGAAACGATATTGTAAATATTTTCTGATAATTTATATCATTGTAGCTATCTGTACATATTCAAATTTGTATTCAGCTACTGAAGGTTACCCCTATGCCAAAAACTAATAGTTAATACATGTATAATTGTGTAGTAAAATTGTTGTTATAATAAATGAATGGAATATACAAAATGAAACGTGATTTTCTTAATGAATCCCAAATCCCTATTCCATTACCAACGCATAAACAAATTGAAATCATTCCTAATCTAGATCGATAGATGAGTACATGCGAGTTTGGAAGAATGTAGCAGACAAAAAAGTTATTTTTTCGACATGTGGCAACGAAATATTTTCTTGGTGTAAGTCGTGAAGTGTGAAGGAAAATAATTTCAAAGTTTTATTTTGATCAAGTAAGGCTTTTGAGAAGTTTTAGGGCCTATCAGCCAAAAATGTTTTGACTCTTATTTTAAACATTTTGTTGGTCAAATTTGCCTGTCTTATATCTGAGGGCAAGTGATTAAACATCTTGANACTTTTTTTAAATAGAATTCCTGACCAAATTTGTTAAAGGAACTGGCAATTTCAACGCGGTAGAAAGGGTGCTATAAGAATGGTATGAAGCCTCATATAGGGGCATATTTTTATAAATGAGGCAAACCGATTCCAAAATGAACAAAGCAATTGCTGTGTGAATCTTTTGCTCAACGAATTTGTGTCTGTATAAATCACGAGGATTATTCTTACACCTATACCTAATAGCCGTTTCTGCAGTACTAATATAGAGAGGGTGCTGATGAATTGCGTACTCCCGAAAACGGTATTCCATAACGTAGGTAGGATTCATCGAGGATGTAATACACCGTTCTGATAGTTTTGAATCCCAAATTTATTGAAGTTACTCTCTCTCACTGCATAACACCGAGAAAAAATTTTACTTTCAAGCTGTTTGATATGTTCAATATATTTGAGCTTATTGTCAATTTGAATACCTAGAAATTTAGGTTGAGTCTCGTTCTTGTTCACACCACTCCTTGATTTTTTCATATCAGTAGATATTAATTACATTGTGTAAATCATTTGAGTTTTCGTTGTTCCATAATATCATGTGTCATCAGGAAAAAGAGTGAAATTTCCAGAAATGCTCAAATTTGCAATGCCATTGATGTATAATAAGAATAAGATGGGTCCTAAAACGGATTCTTGTGGAACACCACACAAGCTTTCTTTTTTTTCTGAAAGTCCATTTGATTCCTTCCTGAAAGGTAGGATTCAAACCATTTGGGCGTCATTTCTCTGCAGCCGTATTGGTGAACTTTTCTTACCAAGGGTTGTTGTTCGTAAAGGTGCGACAACTGGTTAACGGAAAAACAGATTTTTTTATGATCAACGCAATCAAATACCTTAGAAAGATCACCAAAGACCGCAGCTGCTACATTACCAGAATCAAACTTTGAATAAATATCATAAAGAAATGAAAAAGTGGCATCGTGTGTATTTTTAATGCTTTGAAAAACAAACTGGCTTTCACTTAAGATATTGTGGTGTTGTAGAGTTTTTCAATAACTCTGGCTATAGTTGGAATGAGAGACATCGGGCCGGTATATAAACACAAGTTTATATTTTCTAAATAATTTGAAGGCCGTTCAATTTTTTTGCTGAATTTTCTTCTATTGAGATGAAATAATCATTGAAATGATTAGCAATATCCTGAGGGTCAAGTTCATGAACGATTTTGGTTGCTGGTTGGTTGCTGCTATCTGTTTTTGCAAAACCTTTTTATACGTTATTATCAGGTAACCTTTGATCTTCACAAATTCAGCACTGCCGTTTATTTGTGTTTGTACGATAATAATGAAATCATCCACCCCAGAGTTAACATCGTGGCATCCTAGGATTCCGTTCCAATTCAAATTCTGCATTTTATGTCTGAGGAGTTCACTATCAAGTTTTTTGTCGTGTGTTATAATTTCAGTAACAGGCTAAAATATCGGCAAAACTGTACCAAAATTCATGAATTCGATACTTACATCTTGTTTCCGGCAAAAAAACAAACCATTTATATTTCTCAAGAATAAGATGGGTCCTAAAACGGATTCTTGTGGAACACCACACAAGCTTTCTTTTTTTTCTGAAAGTCCATTTGATTCCTTCCTGAAAGGTAGGAGTCAAACCATTTGGGCGTCATTTCTCTGCAGCCGTATTGGTGAACTTTTCTTAACAAGGGTTGTTGTTCGTAAAGGTGCGACAGCTGGTTAACGGAAAAACAGATTTTTTTATGATGAACGCAATCAAATGCCTCAGAAAGATCACCAAAGACCGCAGCTGCTACATTACCAGAATCAAACTTTGAATAAATATCATAAAGAAATGAAAAAGTGGCATCGTGCGTATTTTTAATGCTTTGAAAAACAAACTGGCTTTCACTTAAGATATTGTGGTGTTGTAGTTTTTCAATAACTCTGGCTATAGTTGGAATGAGAGACATCGGGCCGGGATATAAACACAAGTTTATATTTTCTAAATAATTTGAAGGCCGTTCAATTTTATTGCTGAATTTTCTTCTATTGAAATGAAATAATCATTGAAATGATCAGCAATATCATGAGGGTCAACTCAGGATTCATGAACGATTTTTTTTGATTGGTTATGATGTCATTGACGATTTTCCCCATATTTTTGGTTGTTGGTTGGTTGTTGCTATCAGATTTTGCAAAACCTTTTTATAAGTTATTATCAGGTAACTTTTGATCTTCACAAATTCAGCACTTGCCGTTTATTTGTGTTTGTACGATAATAATGAAACCATCCACCCCAGATTTAACATCGTGGCATCCTAGGATTCCGTTCCAATTCAAATTCTGCATTTTATGTCTGAGAAGTTCACTATCAAGTTTTTTGTCGTGTGTTATAATCTCAGTAACAGGTTAAAATATCTGCAAAACTGTATCAAAATTCATGAATTCGATACATACATTTTGTTTCCGGCAAAAAAACAAACCATTTATATTTCTCAAGCACTCTCACACAAAATATTCAAAGTAAATTCAATCCCGCAAAAACTAGCCATACATTAACCCCCATCCACCCCTTATCGATCATTCGGAAGTAATTAACGGCTAAACCCTTGCCTTTCTAAATTCTTAAAGGAGGCATAAAGGCAATAACAATAATTCGGTGTTTGGTAACGAGGGGGGCAAACACTGGCTTCCAATTGAACTTATCTGTCACTATCAAATCTTTTAACAGATTAACCATTGCTTTTAATTCGAATTTCAACTTTAATCATGTCCCTTCGACCATCTGGTACTTTCCGGGAGCACAATGGCCCGACGAAGGATGGTCGTTTTAATGGGGATTCAGATTACATGAGGCTCCCGGTTGTTCCCTTTGATTCTCCCTTCGTGTCAGCAGTCGCATTTTGTATCAGTCCTCGTTATATCATTATTATTCTCCAGAAATGTTTTTTCGTACTTGATGTTTTGGTGTGATCCATAGGCGAACATAATTGAGTCGGTTAAAAAATGAAAACTGACGTCTGGTTTAAAAAGAGACCAAGTAAACATGGCTATCATCTTGATAATAACGATAATGATAATAATAATAGACGGTCCGTAAATTTTTAGAATCCCTCACATAGAAAAGAATAAACCTTTCTGCCACTTGTATTTCTCCTGATAGGAAACACAATACCGATGCGGACGATTTGCTGTAAGAAAATAACGATAATACTAATAATAATAGTCTCCTTCTCTTTTGCATCCTCACTATTGCCATTATCCGTTGCGCTCAGAAATACTCAAGGGTATAACTGTGGCACTTCCGGCAACCGGAGGCACAAGGTCACCAATTTGTTTTATATTGATGATCTTAAATTTTATGCCTCTGGAGAGAAGGATCTCGCATCAGTCCTTGAGGGTGGTGGAAGAGTACACGCATGCTATCGGTATGAAATTTGGGATAGAAAAATGTGCAATGGTCCAACTCAAAAGAGGACGATGCAGGGACTACAGAGAGGATGTGCAGCTCGTAGATGGAAGCATCCTACACCATTTGGATGCCGGAGAGACGTATACTTACCTCGAGGTGGAACAACGCTACTCACAAGAGGTAACAGCAGTGAAGAACTCTCTCCGCGGCAAGTATCATCACAAACTTTGACAGATCTGGTCATTGGAACTGTCGGGGAAGAACAAACTTGCTTCAACAAACATGCTTGCCGTTCCAATCTTACTCTACTCATTTAGAGTAGTGAAGTGGACTCGGGAAGAGCTGTATCAACTTAACGTTAAAGACCTGAAAAATGATGCATCTCTATAGGAGTTTGCATCCCAAATCGTCCGTTCCACAGTTGTACTTCCCCGACAATAGGGAGGCCGTGGACTTTTGAGTTTGGAGTGTCTACATGACAGAATG